CAAAAACCAAACCAAATAAATAAAATTTTAATTATGTTTTCTCTTTTTTAAAGAAAGATTCATTTTTTGTGTGTAGAGTACCACATGAATGCAATGCCCATGGAGGCCAAAAAGAGGACATCAGATCCCCTGGAACTGGAGTTACAGATGGTTATGAGCTGACATGTAGGTGTGAGAACCAATCCTGCATCCTCTTCAAGAGGAGCAAGAACTCTTAACCACAGAGTCATTTATCTAGCTCCTGTTTTCATATTTTTAGATCTTTTTAGTAGCTGCTCTGGAGCTTATCATATAATCTTGACTTATCAACATCAACTTCGGGTTTATATTAGTTTAAATGATCCAGAAATGCTCTGATATGGCATTATTATATACATCTATCAAATTCACATACACATTAACTCATGGTTAGAGCTATTCATTTACCATCTGTAGTTATTTCCTTAGCCCATTATAGCTTTGTTTCAACACACCTCTTCTGTGTTTTTACCAAATGTGTTATACATATAACTCATATTATATGTACAACATTACAAGCATTTAAACATTTTTAATCAGTTAAGGGGAAAACTATGCATTTACAGCATCTTATATAATCACATAATTACCCTTACTATTTTCTCATACACATTTGAATTATTGTTTGGGATCTTTTGCTTTTAGTCTGGAGGATCCTATAACAATTTTTTTTGGTATGGCAGGTCTTTAAGTAATAAATCCTCCCAGTTCTTGGGGCTGGAGACATGGTTAAGAGTGGTTCAGCGCACTGGCTGCTCTTCCAGAGGACCTGGGTTCAATTCCCAGCACCCACATAGCAGCTCACAACTGTCTGTTACTCCAGGATCCACTACCCTCACACAGATTTAACATGCAGACAAAACACCAATGCACAGAAAATAAAAAATAAATAAATTATAATAAAATAAATACTCCCAGTTTTTGATTATCTGTTGTCTTCATTTCACTGTTCTGAAATGACTACTTAATCTATATTCAGCTTTACTAGACATACTTCTTAGTTGACTTTCTTCTTCTTAGTTGACTTCTTCTGACAGTTCAAATTTACAACTGGGGTTCCTCTACTAACTGTTCTATTCCAGTTACTGGACTTTGCAACTCTAGAACTTTCATTTGGTTCTCCTTTAGAATACCTCTCTTTAGTGATCTCCATTTGATTTGGCAGTGCTTTGGAGCCTTCCTTTACTACTCTGTGTTTCCCTTAAGTTCTGGGAATATATTTATAATGGCTAAATCTCGTGTGTGTGTGTGTGTGTGTGTGTGTGTGTGTGTGTGTGTGTGTGTGTGTACGCGCACGCATGTATATGTACATGTGTGGTCCACAGATGCACATGGACATGTGGAAGCCACAAGTCTCCCACTATCAAGTGTCTTCCACTATTACTCTCTATCTTATTTGAGAGAGACAAGGTCTTTCACTGACCCTGAGCTCAGTGATTCTAGAGATCTCCCTGCCTTCACCCTCCAACACAACTTTCACTTGGGTGTTCAGGATCAAAGCCCAGATCCTCATACTTGCATGGCAAGCAGTTTACTGACTGATCAATTTTCCCGGAAGCCTTTTTTGTTAACTGACCCCTGTTCGCTCTCGCAGGAACTTGTGAGCCTAGCTCTCCCATACCCACCTCCTCTTCCTTCCTTGTTCTGGTCATATTTTCCCATTTCTTTACTTATCTCATAGTTTTTGATCTTTTGGGCATTTCGGATAATATATTTTAGTTACTCTTGGGTACTGCTGTTCCCTATCCAGGGCTTTTATTTGCTGGGGGAGGAAGAGCACTCCATCACTGTCCTTGCGTTTTTTGAGACAGGGCTTGCTATGTAACTGAAGCTGACCTTGAATGCTCCATTCCTCTGTCCTCAGCCTTGAAAGTGCTAAGATTACAGACACAGACCATCAAATCTAACTTCAAGACTTACCATGTACTTATTTGTTTGGTGACTGGTTGAATGATTTTTAATAAAATCTACTTCTCTCACAGTGTGAAGACCTATGACAGTTCCTCACAGGGAGGTGTTAATTTGAATAGTTAATCTTGAATGACATGGCTTTAGTCTTCCCTTTCCATGACCATCTAGCTGTTAAGATTCTAATTGTGGCTTATTTTTCTAATATTTGTAACAGTACCCTGGAGCACAACTTGTATACAAACTAGCCTACTGAGTTATGAGTTACTCTGAGGGAACTGTTTCTGAGGTAAATGTTTGATATTTATTCTTACCTAATAATTTCTTGCAAACTGGAAAACATGCACTCTAAGCTGTATCCTCATAAAATCCAATCCTCTCTCACTAGTATTCTCAAGACTGCCTCCAGGCATGAACTTTTCCACTGTGTTGCAGGTGAAGTTATTTCCTTTGGGATAAGATTGGGACAACCTGGGGCTAAGGGTTGAATCTTGAGCCACCTGCAAGTGCTTTATCAGAGCTATACCCCTAACCAACAATTATGTTTAACTCTTGCTCTCCTCCATTCCTCAGGCAAAATCTCTGAACCAGCATCCTAGAAATGGAGTGGGGGATAAACCAAGCTTGCCAAGACATCCCCTTCCCCACCAATCCCAGGTCTGAGTCTTTGGTGGAAAACACACAAACACACACACACACACACACACACACACACACACACAGAGTAGGCTGAAGTTTCAACTTGCCTTCCCTAAGGTCAATAACCTCCTCACAAATCAAAGTTGGGGCAAGAGCAGTTAGGTCCTAAATCGTCTCAGGATGCCACACCCTGTTGCACAGGTAGGGACTGACTAGAAAATGGAGGCCCCCCACCTCTTGTGCGCCTTCCCGGGACTCAGGCCCAGCAATAAGGAGTGGAATCTATCAACTCATTCAATGAGGAAAGAAGCATTGACAGACTTGATTCAAACTACTGCCTCTCACCTTATTAAATTTTCATTGATTCTTGTTGTAGCATTTGCCGTTTACCCTTACAACTATTTCCAAAGCTTGTTTTCAAAAGAATTTTTACTGGTTTGGGAACAGAATACGTTAGTGGAGCTCCTGATACTGTCATGCTTAAATCAATCCTATCTAAAAGCAAGGCTAAAGAGCTGAGCAGTTAGTTCCAACAGAGTCCTAGGGGCCTGTTGAGCTGAAATGATTGACTATACAGGCATGTGCAGAAACAATAACTCCTGACTTAACGGTCACTCCTACTAATGCTATTGGGCATGAGACAACCACAAGGTAGCAAAGACTACATTGCTTAAGTATCATCCTGGCTAAAAACTTACTCTAAAGTTCAAAATCTTGATGCTCTCTGCGTATATAAGAAGGGGAAATTAAAGGTTTTTTTCCTCTCTCTTTTTTTTTGGGGGGGGGTGGGTGGGGATTGGTTTTTGAGACAGGGTTTCTCTGTGTAGCTCTGGTTGTCCTGGAACTCTGTAGACCAGGCTGGCCTCTAACTCACAGAGATCCACCTGCTGCAGCTCCCACTACCTCTTTTGCCACATTCTGTAGTCCAGGCTGGCCTTTAATTCTCATAGTCCTCTGACTCAGTCTCTAAGTACTGGGTTTGCAGGTATGTGCTGATGCACCTGGCCCAAAATGCTACACTAAGATATTAAAAAAGATGGGGGCAACATCAAACAGTTCTTTCTTCCATCGGATATCTGTTGAGTATCCTTTTAATTCAATTCTGACACACTCTACCTGGAATGTTAAATCTCATAAGTAAAAGTGTCATCCACACAAGACTGCCTCCTGTTTCTGATGCCAGTCACATGCTCTTGACTATCACCAAAATGAGGTGCCACAACTCCCTTTTTGGGTTCAGTCAGTTTAGGAGTGCACCTCACAGAAGGTAGGTAAACACTCATGTCTACCTTTTTTTTTTTAAAGAGATATTATAAGGGACACAAGATAATACCAGATCTTTTTAAATGAAGAAAGTAAGTCGTGTGGGAAAGGGTGCAGAGTTTATATGCCCACTCCTATTGAACATGTTCAGCTGGAAGCTCTCCAAACCCCAGCCTTTTGGGAATTTATGGAGACTTCATTATAGAAGCATCATTGATTAAATCATTGACCTTTAGTGACCAATTTAGCAATCAGTCCCATTTTGGGAAAAGAACTGAGAAGTCCCAACCTTAAGGATGCTAACTAAGCCTTTCTGGCAACCAAGCTAAATCCTAAAACTAAAGCCTGGCAACAACAGCCAACTCATTAGTACACAAGAAGATACTACTTTGGGAGATTTTAAAGGTTTTAGAAGCAATAGGCCAGGAAACCAGATCAAATATATCCCAGTGTCACAGATACCAACCTGACTGGTTTTGGTTGTTATTTGTTTTTTGAGAGTTAAATGTGTAAATGTCTGACACTTGGGAAACACTCAGGGCTGTGGATATAACCCAGTGATGGAGTGCTTGCACAGCATGTACAAGGCCCTGGATAACAGACACACACACACACGTTTTCAACAAATGATAACTACTATCACTATGTTAGAATCTATGAGAAGTACATGTAAGTTACTCTCGCCTCAAAGACTTTTTTTTTCCTAGAAAATTTAAAGTTCGGAACAGGGAAAAGTACAAACTTTCAACAAAACTAGACGTAACTTTTAAGACCTACTTACTGTACATAATAACACCTAATGAAAAACTCCCTGGCATTTTATGCGCAAGCCCTACTCACTGTAAACCAGTTCGTTACTACGGAAGATTCCAGCTTTTTCCAATAACAAATGAATGAAAATAACCTTCAGGAAAAACCAAGAGGCCACTTTTTTTTTTTTTCTTTAAAGGCAACAACTAGCTTTAAGTTGTGATCTGGGCCTAGATAGTCCTTTCCGGTTCTGACCATCTCCACCCTTGCCCAGGGAATGGTATATACAGAATCCCTCAAGCTTCCACCTCGACTGTCACCACAGCGAGGCAGCCCCGTGGGAGGGGACGCACGCCCCAGCCGGACAGGCAGGGATTCCGTGGCTCTCCGCTCATAGTCCGTCGGGACTGGCGGCCGGTTACCTCGCAGTTGAACTCCATCTCGGCGTCCATGGTGACGATCCGCACCGTAAATGTCTTGGGCTGCTTCCTCTTAAGCGAGCTGAAGCTCATGCGGGAAGCGATGGCTCCAGCCATGGCGCAGGGTTCTGGCCAGAGACCCTCTCACCCCTAGGTCTATTAGCCTCCCTGGAGAAGCTGCACAGGCCTCAGGGCCACCATGGTGGCCGGCTGGCCGGCCCGAGACAGACCTAGGCTGCGTGGGTCCCCAGCGACCACCATGGGCCGCGAGGACCCGGCCCTCGGTGCGGAGAGACCAGTTAAGGGACAGTCTCAGACGGCAGCGGGGACGCGACGCGGGCAGGAGCGGGCGCGGCCCGGCGCTCGGAAACTCGGGCTGGGGACGTCGGGGACGCCCCTGGGCTGGAATCCTAGACGGCTGCGGCGCGGACTCCGCGCGCCTCTCAGCGGCCCGACGGGGGTCGCGGCGCCGCGCAGTAGCCGGGAGCGCACGCGCGCGTGCGTGTCTGTCACCGGCTCGGCTCCGCGCGCCCTCGGGAAGCGCCCTCCACCAACCCCCACCTCAGCGACCCGCCGGGCCCCCGCCCCGCCCTCGGGCCTCCCAGAACGCTACACACCGATGCAACCTAAATAGCCATTTCCCAGACGCTGTGATTGGCTGGAACGCCAAAGGAAGCGGGACTCCCATCCGCCCCGCCTCCTCTAAGGCCATTCCACCAATTACAAGTTGCACTGAGCCAGGGGCGCGGGTCTGTACTTGGCGTTGAGTGGCTATAAAAGCGGTCACTCCGAACGCTTTTGTTCGTAAAGAATACGCCTACTCTAGCAAGACTGGTTGAGAAGGCTCAGGCGGCGCCTTTCCCGGGAAACCTGTAGAGGCCCTGGTGGCACAGCACGAGGTGCATCGTAATTAGACACCTCCTACGTAGAGATGGTCGCCCTGGAGCCTGAGTCTTATTTGGGACACCCGGCCGAAATTCCATTTTGGCGTTTAATTTCATGTATTGACCTGTATTTCTCAAATTTTAAAAGCACTTAGTGGCCCCACTTTCCTACCTGATCCTCTCTAGCTTCTCTTTAAGAGAATTACAACTACCAAAGGGTTCGTGATTTTCCTTCCTTGCCTTATGGAGTAATTGAGGAATTGAAGCTTGTTTAATACATACAGAAAGCTTTAGAAAGGTGTCTGACATACTAGATTGATGCTATAAAACTGAACTAGATCAAAAAAGGGTGAGAAACACGAAAGCATTTTCATTTTGTCCTTTGCATTTATTGTTTGTTTTTCCAAAGTACATACATGTAGTACTTGTACCTTAATGCCATCAAGTTCTATATAGGAGAATTTCAGCTCTCTGGGGGAGTTGTGGAGTTTTGTTTGTTTTAAAGATATATGTCCCAGTCACTGCCCAGTTGCTGTGAAGAGACACACCATGACCAAGGCAACTCTTAGAAAAGAAAGCGTTTAATTGGGGTCTTGCTTACAGTCTCAGGGTTTAGTCCATTATTCATTATGGTGGCATGTGTGGTGCTGAAGAAGTAGCCTTAGAAAAAACTGAGGCCTGGCATGATGGAATCTCATAATTGACTCAGCTCTCAAGAGACAAGGCTGGAAATGGGACCTTGGTCTGTTCCAGCCCAGAGCTGCTGGTATTACCAGTGTGCTACCCTGTGTGAGGCATCTAACTTCTCCTTGTTGAAGCTTCAAAAAATATTGACCGGGAATGAGGCTAAGGTGTAAGGGTTTACATGTATGAAAATGTCATAATGAAACCCATTATTGTATGCACAGAAAGTTTAAAAAGCATTACATGACTAACATGATTGGACTTCTGTAGTATTCAGCAGACATTGTTAGAACTGTACTGTAGCATAAGTCTTGCTCTTCTACAACAGACCCCTGGAAGACCAGGAAGCACCAGCCAGGGAGAAGAAATTGTTGCCTGGACCCACCAGAGAGGATGCCACCAAAATGATCCTTTGGGGTACTGGGGCCTTGGTGGGGGATTATCTTCATTTTTATTGCTTCAGTTCTTTTCTGCTGGTGGGAAAACCATGTCAGATTCTTCCCTGAGCTTCCTGCAGGGACAACAAATAACCCAGAGCCAAAGATACTGCCAGTAAATAAGTAAGTTGGGGAACCCACTGAGGAGCAGCAAAAGGAAGTAGATCACACAGCAGGAGCTAAAATATAAGGTTGATGATCAGTAATGGTTCATTTTTATAGACTTCCTAGGTGCTAGGATTGGGCTAATCTGCAAAAAACTCTATTTAAAGTTCTTGGGACAATGTCCAGGTACGAAAGGCAGTTCTGAATCTTAAAAAAGAGAGCCAGGACTGAAAATAGATATAATGGGGGCTGGAGATGATTAAGAGCATTTAGTCTGTTGCACAGGCCCTGAGTTCAATTCCCAGAACCCAAGTGTAAATCCAACTCCAGGGGATCTGATGCCCTTTTGCTGGGCTCATCAGGCACCTACACTCACGTGCAGGTTCCAACACAGGTGTACACACACACACACATAATTAAAAATTAAGTGGATCAGGTGGCTAAAGAGATGGCTCAGTGGTAAAGAGCACTGGCTCCTCTTCCAGAGGATCTGGGTTCAATTCCCAGCACCTGTTTAGCTCCCAACCATCTGTAACTCCAGTTCCAGGGTATCTAAATGTGGTGCACATGTAAACACAGAGGTAAAAAATAAAATAGGAGTTGGAGAGATGACACAGAAGGTAAGAGCTCTGGCTGTGCCAAGTATGATATGGCACACGCCTTTAATCCCAGCACTAAGAACAGGCAGGAGGATCCCTGTAAGTCTAAGGCCATGCCAGCTGAAACAAAGTTCCAGGACAGCCAGCCAGGGAAACATAGAGAGGCCCTGTCTCAAAAAAAAAAAAAAAAAAAAAAAAAAAAAAAAAGTCAACCACCACAACACAAAGTACTGGCTGCTCTTCCAGAATTCCTAGGCTTGCTTTCCAGCACCCATATAGTGGCTCACAACTGTCTGTAGCTCCATTTCCAGTGGGTCCAATGTCCTCTACTCACCAACTCAGCCACTAAACACACATGTAGTGCACAGACATATGTGCAAGCAAAACACATAAAAAAATTTAATTATAAAATGCCTTTAAGGGGCTGGAGAGATGGCTTAGCGGTTACAAACACTGATTGCTCTTCCAGAGGACCCAGATTCAATTCCAGGTACCCACATGGCAGCCAACAATGGTCTGTAACTCCAACATTTGACCCTCTCACACAGACATACATGCAGGCAAAACACTAATGCACATAAAATAAAGAAATAATTTTTAAAAGATCTTTAAAAAGTAGATATGGCCATTTGTTACGGAATATTATTTTAACTATATAAAGATGTGTCACATTTGTTTATGCTGTGGAATATTTAACCATGTAAAGCGGTGTCACATTTGTTTACGCTGTGGAATATTACTTTAACCATGTAAAGGTGTCTACGTTTGTGTGTTTAATTATGTGTTACATTTGTCTCACCTTGCCTACCTAAGGCACCTGATGGATCTAATAAAGAACTGAATGGCCAACAGCTAGGCAGAGACAGGATAGGTGGGGCTGGCAGGCAGAGAGACTAAATAGGAGGAGGAATCTAGGCTTGGGAAAAGACAAGAAATGGAGGAGAGAGGAAAGAACAGGGGCCAGCCAGACACAAGAAACAGTGAAAGATATACCGAAGGAGAGAAAAGTAAAAAGCTCCGAGGCAAAGGGTAGATAAAAAGAAACAGGTTAATTCAAATTAAAAGAGCTAGCCAGAAAGGAGCCTAAGCTAGGCTCATAAGAAGTCTCTGTGTTGCGATTTGGGAGTTGGCTGGTGGTCTAAAAGGAAAAAACCTAGTACAGCCATTCTCTTGGTGGTACACCTTTAGTTCCAACACTCAGAAGGCAGAGGCAAGAGGACTTTGTGAGTTCCAGGCCAGGCAGGGCTACATAATGAGACTGAGATAACAAAGGTTCACACAGAATCCTTTCGGTGGAAACTCATGAAAGAAATATATTTTGTGAGCCTAGTGATGTAGCTCAGTTAATTCTGTCTTTCCCTAGCATGCACAAAGTCCTGGGCCCATGATGGTGCAACCCTATGATCCTAGAACTCAAGGTGAAAACAGGAAGTTCACAAGTTCAGGGTCATCCTCCACCATGGAATGAATTTGACATGCTTCAGTACTTGTATTTCTAGTGATCAGTTTGCATTTTTTTAATGACATAGTTTACACCTTTCTAAAAGTAACCTATACACATCTTTTAAAAATTACACACATGCAATTCTATCACTCAAAAGGTTGAGACACTAAAGACAGCAGGAGCTTTGAGACCAGCCTGTACTAGAACTTGTCTCCAAAAAGGGAGAGGGAAGAGAATGGATTGGGGAAGTGTGGGGGAGAGGAGTGAGGAGTTGGGGATGGACATAATACAAATACATTCTTTACATATATGAAATTGTCAAGAATAAATATAAAAAGCATCTTTTAAGAAAAGATTCCTGTTTTGGAGGCAGAGGCAAGCAGATCTCTTGAGTTCCAGGCTATCCTGGACTCTTTCTTTAAAAGTGAAAAGGAGCTGAGGCTGTGGCTCAGTTAGGAGAATACTTGCCTTGCATGCACAATGCCTGAGTTCCATTCCTGGACCGCATGGATGGAGGAAGGAAGAAACCAGATTCCCAAAAGCTGTCCTCTGACCTCCGCAGGTGTGCCATGGCACACTCTGGCACAAGTGCTCAAACACACACACACACACACACACACACACACACACACACAGCAGATAAATAAACATTAAACAGAAAACTATCTCGTTCTAATAAAATAGCCTCCAATGGTCCATGGCCTTAGATAATATACAACATTGAGTTGGAACAAACCCTATGAAATTTGGAGTAGTCCTCTTGTGGTTCTTTTTATGGCAAAGGGATGTCACCATGTGTAATCTGTAACCTTTTGTATTTATCAAAAGAGGTTGTGGTAATGCCTTTGAGGCAGAGACGGGGATCACTAGATTGAGGATAGCCTGGGCTACACACTTTGGGCTGGAGAGATGGTTAACCAGTTAATAGCACTTGGCGGACCTAGGTTCAATTCCCAGCACCCACTTAGTAACTCCAATGCCAAGGGATCTGAAGCCCTTTTCTGACTTCCTCAAACAAGGAACATGCCTTCGGTGCACAAACATACATGCAGACAAAATATTCATACATACAAATTTTTAAGTCTTTTTTTTTTTTTTTTTTTTTTTTTAATGTGGTGGCACACACTATCCTGGAACTTCCTCCATTGACCAGGCTAGCTTGGAACTTAGAGATTGGCCTGCCTCTGCCTTGAAACTGATGGGATTAAAGGCATGTGCCACAAATTCATCCAAGCCAACCTTTTTCTTTCTTTTTCATTTTCTTTTTCTTTCTCTTTCTCTCTCTCTCCTTCCCTCCCTCCCTCCTGTCTTTCTAGACAGGGTTTTTCTGCATAGTTCTGGCTGTCCTGGAACTCACCCTAGAGACCAGACAGGCCTCAAACTCCCAAGTGCTGGGATTAAAAGCATGTATCATCATGTCAT